ACTTTTAAAATATTTTTAAAATTTCATTCAAGACTTCCTCTTGGCCCATGCATTATTTAGTAGTATACTTAATTTCTAAGTGTTTGGAGATTTTTCTGTTGTCTTTCTGTTATTGATTTCTAGTTTGATTCCATTATCAACAGAAAACATGCTCTGTATGATTTCACAACTCTGTTTAAGTTATTAAGGTTTGTATTTTGACCTCAAATATTCTTTATTTTGGTTAATGTTCCATGAGTGCTTGAAAAGAATGTGTATTCTGCTGTGGTTGGGTAGAGTGTCCTATAAGTGTTATTTAGATCTTATCAGCTGATGATGTGGTTCAGTTCTTCTATAACCTTGCTGACTTTCTTTTTAGTAGTCTATTAGTTACCGACTGTGAAGTGTAAAAGTCCCCAACTATAACTGTAGGTTTATCTATTTCTACTCCAGTTCTATTAGTTTTTGCTTCATGTATTTTGAAGCTCTGTAGTCTGGTCCAAACACATTTAGCATTGTTATGTCTTCCTGGTGGACTGATTCTTTTATTCCTATGTATTTCCCTTTTTTGTCTCTAGTAATAGTAATTTTCTTTGCTCTGAAGATGACTTTATCTGATATTGATATAGCTAGCTGCTCCTGATTTTTTTTAAAAAATAGTGTTTGCATAGTATATCTTTTCCCATCCTTTTACTTTTGATATAGCTGTGTCATTGTATTTCAAGTGAAATTCTAGTAGTCAGCATATGGTTAGACTTTTTTTTTTAATACACTTGCCAATCTCTGTCTTTTAATTACTCTGCTGAGACCATTTACATTTAAGATAATTAGTGACATGTTAGGGCTTAAGTCTGCCAATTTATCTTTTTTTCCTGTTCATTTCCTCTGTGTCTTATTTCTTACATTCTTATGAATTACTTGTTAAATACATTCCCCCTGCTATCTGAAAGTAGAACATTCCTACGAAACTTATCATAAACTGAAATGGTATAAAGCAAAGAAGCAATTACCAGTAATTTATATGGAAAAATGTTTGCGCATTCCCAGACCCAAAAATAATCCCTCCTAGGCTTTTCCGATACCTTAGGACACATCTTGCTAAGTGACGCAGAAAATAAATGGAGATAAAGCACAGATGCTCACAGACACAGTTCAAAGCTATGGAGGCTTCACGCTATGTTGCGGAGTGCGGTTCCTGGGGAAGGAGTTGGCAAGGCTGCTATCACTGCTCAGAGTGTGCCCTGTCTCAATAACAGCTCACTGCAAAACAAATGCTGGATGCTATGTTTGCTTTTTGCCTTTTTTCATGAAAGTGAAAATCCTGTTCAGCGATCTTTCAGTTAGCAAAAACAGGTGCTAATGCCGGTCTTTTGTAAAAGCAAAGTGGTGTGAAGTGAACTTTCAAAAAGTGGGGGATACCTGTATACATCTTTTCATTGTTTTCTTAATGGTTGCTCTGGGTGTTGTACTGTAAGTATGGAATTTATCACAGTCTACTGGTAACAGCATTTACCACTTCCAGTAAGATGTGGAAATCTTATTTCTAATTAGGTCCTTTTACCTTCCATACTTTTAAAATATAATTGGCCTGTTTCTTCAGCAACAGTGAGCTCTACATCAGACAATGCTATAATTTTTGCTTCAACTATCCAATATGACTTAATAATCTGATAATTAGGATACTCTATTATACTTACTCCTATTTTTACCCATTCTGATATTCTTTCCTTTTTGAAGTTTCAAGCCTTTTTCTGTTTTTGTTTTTTTTCCTCTTTATTTAAAGAACTTCTCTAGCCATTTTTTACAAGTAGATTTGCTGGTAAAAAATTTGCATAGTTTTCCTTCATCTGAATATGTCTCTATAACCCCTTCATTCATTAAGGGCATTTTCACTGAATATAGAATCCTGGATTGACAGTTGTTTTCTTTCAATACTTAAAAAATACTCTGCCACTTCCTCTGGCCACCATGATTTCATATGAGAAGTCTGTTGTCATTCAAATTGGCAATCTAAGCAATGTGCCCTTTTTCTCTGTTGCTATCAAGTTATTTTTCCCCTTGTCTAATTATGTTTATGATATGCCCTGCCATGGAGTGACTCGGGTTTGTCCTATTTGGAATCTGCTCAGCCTCTTGAATATGTATGTTTATGCCTTTCACTGATTTTAGGAAGTTTTCAGCCCATATATCTTTAAATATATATCTAGTCCTGCTCTCCCTCTCCTCTCCTGGGACGCTTGTGATATGAATGTTAGCTCTTCTGTTATCGCCCCACATGTCCCTGAGACCCTGTTCATTTTGTTCCAGTCTATTTTCTCTCTGCTGTTCAAATTGCGTAATTTCTATTGATCTGTCCTGGTGTTTACTGATTTTATCTTCTGTCATCTCTACTCTACTACTGAGCTGGTCCAGTGAGTTTGTATTTTGGTGACTGTATTTTCCAGTTCTATAATTTCCATTTGGCTCTGTTTAATAACTTCTATTTCTTTGCTGAGATTTTCTTTTTTTTTTTTTTTCATTTGTTTCAAGAGAATTCCTAATTGCTTGTTGAAGCAATTTTGTGATTTCAACATCTGATTCATGTCAATATTGGCTTCTGTTGATTGTCTTTTCTCATTCATGTTGTGATTTTCCTGGTTTGGGGGATGACAAGGGGTTTTCTATTGTATTCCGGGCATTTTAGGTTTTACATTGTGAGACTCCAGATCCTATATAATCTTTTTGTTAGCCATCGGTCTCTGTGCTGAGGTACAGCATAAGGGCCAAGTGGGTGTGGGTGGGACGGAAGGTTAATTTCTCATTCAGCCCTGCTGAAACTGTGGAGGGTTGGTCTATTGTTCCATTGGTGTTTGTCTGGAGTAGGAAAGGTATTGTCACAAAGGTTTTCTGTTATGAGGCTATCCCTTTCCTGGCTGTTTGGCTAGAAGGGACAGGCTTTTCTTAGATTTTTTTTTAAATTATTATTTTTGGTCTCTGCCTATTGTAGGTACAGGAAGGAGGCTTCTGGAGTGCTCCACTCAGACATATGGTGGGAATCAACAAGGAGACCCAGGGAACTCAGCTCCGTGTCTTTAGGTCAAGGCAGCTCACCTTGCAGAGTCTTCCTATACTTGTGTGTTGGTTTACATCCAGGGTGTTTTAGTTGTAAGGAGGAGAATCTGATTGGAATGTGGCTATTCCCCATTGGCAGAATCAGATGTCCAGATAAATTTTTACATTCAAAACCACTTCAGTCTTCAATATCCATACATTTTCAAAGACAATTTTAAATAAATGCTCATCCCACTTTCTCTAACAATTTTTTCCTTCATAAGACCTCAGATATCCAAATATCACACTGCTCCTTGTTTATTTGGGAAGCAGCCTGAAGGGAGGTCTTGATCATTTTAAGCATCTTTGCTATTTAATGTTGCAGGCACCATCACTGGACACCTATCTGAGGCTCTGGAGAATATTTCAATGCTACACTATTGGGAAGGGGGTGGAATCCAGACCCAGGCAATGGTCAAACAAGGGGAAGGTCCCTAGGAAAATCTGGCAATAAATTTTAAATAATTTAAAATTATTTAAAAAGATAAATTGAGATCTAAGTCATTCTTTCCTACCTTACCCTACAAAATGACCATGAACAAACATTCTCTAGATACACTTGTTCCTTGAACTACAATGTACTTCTTTCTCCCTCCAAACGTAAAGCTTGTTATGGTGTTTCCTGCCCCTCAAAGTGAAGCGTGGATATTAACTCTGATATAATTTTTCCTTCTCACTGTGTATTCTAGCTGGAATAAATTTTTCCTAAGCCTGTGTTGTTCACTCCCTCAGAGATGCCCATCCAAATGCTTCTACCATCTGTACCTAAGATAGTACCAATGCCACTCCCTGCCCCCTTGAGCCAGGGGGTCTCCCCAGCACAGACAGTGCCTCACAGAAACCTGCCTTGCCGCTGCCCTCAGCCGGCCTCATGGGAGTCTGCTCTCCAGGACAGGAGAAGCCCTGCATGGCAGATATAACAAAACAGTATGAGTAATGGCAGCTCTGCGTCCCAGGAAGTGTGATATTATTGCAGTCACAGCCATACCTTCAACCTAAATTGTTCCCTAGCCCTGTAGGGGGTGGTATGGTAGCTGCAGTGCTTTGTACTGACAAATTTAAAGATGGCTAAGGGGAGGGGCCCCTCGGTGGCTCAGTCTTGATTTTGGCTCAGGTCATGATCTCAGGGTCGCAACATCAAGCCCCACAGCAGGCTCTGCACTGAGCGTGGCGCCTGCTTAAGATGCTCTCTCCCTCTCCCTCTCCCTCTGCCCTTCCCTCTCCTACTTGTGTGCTCTCCCTCTCTCTCTCTCTCTCTACAAAAAAATAAAAATAAAAAATAAATATGGCTAAAGAGAAACAGGATTTATTTTATTGAAATCTATTCTGGGAATTTTCCTAGAATGCTCCAACTAGAAGGACAACTTCTACCCCACTTCCTAAGGTCCTCCTTTAACACATCTTCCTTTTGTTCCACAATATTTATGCAGCAGGCAATGCTCAGAGCATTGAATATACAGCAGTGGGCAGAGATCATCCCTATCCTCATAAACCTTACCTTCTAACCCGGGAGACAAGTTACCCCAATAGCTACCCCAATAATTATTTGATCAATTATAGGAAGAGCAACAAAAGATTTAGCAAGTAGTTTCAGTTTTCTTTGAATCTCAGCAAAAGCCATATTTTTCCAATGGTGTCAACACAGGTATCAAGCACAACACAGGATGTGCGCAGAATAAGAAAAAAAGTAAACCAATGCAGTTATTTAGGAACTACTGAGCTTCTGAACTCAACATAATTATTTCATTGCCATGATTTTATCTGTGCCTCTTCATAAATGTTCTATACACTGGGGTTCCAAGGTCCTCAATAAAAGGCCAATACTATGATGAGTTTATAAAAATTAGAACAGAATTACTTCCAGCAAGCACTGTAAGGGAGACGAGGCTGCACCATGACCTCTGATGCACCTGCCCAGCTGCAGGCCCTACCTCCTTGTTTGTCCTGTCAGCTTGCACCAACGTCCCATTCAGGCAAGGTTCCACGTAGTGAAGCTCCTCATTATACTGCAAAGAGATGAAATAGCCAAGAGGATACACTTAATTAATCATTTGAGGGGTACCAGATAATTTAAGGATACATGCAAACAAACAAAAAAGCAACATAACTACAGGCTCAGTTCATTCACATAGGTGACTTTCCCAATTGGTGCCCCTAGATAAAATTGCGCCTAAGTGCTAGATTTTCCTCTCTTGTTTGAGAGAGAAAGTTCTAGAGCATGTGCCGGTATATGGCAGTGTTAAGGGTATACACAGTTAACTGACAGTCCTTCAGGGGTGGCTCCAAACACTGGGGCTCTGTGGCCACGGCAGACAGTACATGATCCAGGTGAGATCTAAAGAGCACCCCAGACTTGGGCAAATATAGCTCCAGCTCCTGTTGTTGGTTTTCTGGAGTGCAAGGACCTGTGCATGGGTCACACATGAGTGACAACAGAATGCAGGAAAGGAGAAGCCTTGATGTTCCCCCGTCACTCTGGGAGGCTCTACGACTTCTGGTCAGAGCACTGCTCACGAGCGGTGGCATCCCCTACCACACAGGCCAATGTCAGCCTTCCCATTAGTTTTTATCGCAGAATACCTGGAATATGACCATTTGTTTTTGTCCAAAGCTCACAACAAGGAAGTGGAAACTTAAGCATGATTCTCTGCACTGTGGCTAGGCTGGGTCCTTCTAAAACACCAGTCAGGTCATGTCGCCTCCTGCCAACCCATTCACACTTTCCACTGCTCTGCAGATAATCCTTCCCAGGGTGTGGCAGGGCTCTGGACACTTGGCCCTGTTGACCTTTCCAGCTTCACTCATTCATTAGCCCTCCCAAGGAACTTAGCGCTAGCCAGCCCTGATTCCCTTCCTGTCCTCTGAGATATCCCATCTTCTCCTCCCACACAGGGCCCTCTGCCTGGAGCTCTTGCTCTGGCCTCTCCCAGCTGACTCCTGTTCATCCTCTGGGTAAGCTCATTCCTGCCTCCTCTGGGAAGCAGCCTCTGGTGTAGCTGAGGCTCCTTTCCTGTAAACTCCCAAATTCTGACAGCTTGGTGCCCAGGTCTCTTCCCACAGGTGGGCCCCCATTGTCAGGGTCCATATCTGGTTCCTCGGTGTGCCCCCTGTGACAAGCACAGGGCTGCGCCCACAGTCAGTGCCCAGAAACAATGTGTTCAATGAATGTCATCCCATTTCCATTCCGGCTACCAAAAGCCCAGCCCAGAGCTCCAGAGAAAAGGAACCAGAACCATCTCTCACAGGTCCAGCTCTCAAGCAAAGCCTGGCTAAGGAGTTCAGACTTTAAGTGCATGCACAGTGAGGACCATGGAGGGCTGTGCACAGGGAAGTGAGTGACTAAAGGGATGAGCATGGGCCCAATGCTCTGGGCACACTGCAGGGACAGACTGAAGAGGGCCAGCTGTCACAGCTGACCCAGCAGTGACAGAGACACATCCTGTTTCAGTGCCAAAGTGCTTGCTAGGCAGGCAGGAGCAGAGATAATGACATCAGCAACTCACTGTTACTGAGCACTCACTTCATCTAGGCACAGGCTAGACTTCATTCACGGCATACCTCAACCTCATGCGGTAAGCGCTTCCAACCACACCCCCTTTACAGACGAGGAAACCAAGGCAGAGCAAGGATGATCAACTTGCCCAAAGTCCCCAGGGAGTCCACAAGGGGTGGAGTCCAGATTCAAACCCAGGCAGTCTGACCTCACAGCCAATCACCTCGGGCCCTCAAAGCCCCCAATTTCTCCTCTCTGGCCCCCAAAGCCTCTGTGCTTCTCATCAGTCAGACTTTTGCTCCCCCTTTAATCTTTGTTCTTAGTCATGCAGAGCATTTGAAAAAAATCACAGCTCAATGGTCATAGAGCTTAGATCTCCTCTGAAGTGGCACAGAGGAAAAACACGTTTATGTGATTCTGAAATCAGCTATTGACAAATGGGAGCATGACTTTCAGTCAACAAACGGAACACCATCTGAGGACTCAGGAAGCAATTCACAGTCCAACCTGAAGAAGAGCTCCTCCAACATTCTCAGGCCATATTGGACTGACGCTGGAAGTTGCTGGAAAAAGCAGCCATTCCCCTGTCCTCCACCTCCCTCGCTGACTGAGTTGCTCAGGGGAGACAAGATGCCCATTCCTAAAGCCAGAAGCATAAGCAGTCTTAGCCAATCACAGCCATCCCATCCTCCTCAGCTGGCTGCATGCTTTCCTACCCTGTCTTGAAGCTAGAGGTGGTCACGTGATCCATTCCCAGCCAACAAAACATAAAGGAGTCATTTTCTGGACAGTTTCAGTGAATTTTTTTTTCTTCTTGCCATTAAAGGGAAACTCTTCTCTACCCACTGCCTTCCTTCCCACTTGGGATGCACTGCACAGCTGCAGCAGTCATTTTGCAACCATGAGGTGACAAGATTAAGGATGGAGAGCAAAGCGCAGGAAGACGGAGCCAGTGTGGGTCTTTGATGACACTGCTGAAGCATCGTGTACCAAACATGCAGCTGCCCTGCTCCACGTCCATGAGATCATGAGATGCCCGTATGCTGAAGCAGCCTTTATTCAGTTGTTCTGTACATTGTACTCCCAAGGTTCCCAATTCCATTTGCCAGGAAAATTTTGAGCTTTATCTACATTCTGCCTAATATACATTATGAATATTGATTCCTATCGGGTTGCGTAGTCTGAGGTGAGAGTCAGGATGCTTGGGTCCACGTTCTGCCTCTGCCATGTACTCCCTGTGTGGCCTTGGGAAAGTCACTGAACCTCAGGTCCTGCATTCTTTATGCATGAGAAGGTGCTAATTCATCTTCCATTTATCCTCCAGGGGCTCCTGTGAGGATCCAATGAGGCAACAGACTTGAAATTGCTTTGCTAGTGCGAAGGCCTGCACACGTGGGGGGCTGCCGAGGGGGCTAGAAAGTAAAGAAGACCAAGATGTTCTTACCTTCATCAGGGAGGAACATGTGCAGTAATCAAAACCATGCTCCCCATCACTGTGTGAGCCATGGCCACAGTGGAGGAATCTGCTCTTCTGAACCCCCTCCAGCTTGTTAGTGGCATCATCCAAGCTTGCAGTTGACTAATTTCCCTTGACTGCATCAGGATAAAGCTATGCTGAGCAATCTGGTCTGTATCACCAAAGGGAGTTGGGCTCAGCCATCCACGTGAGTGAACGGTACACACCAGGTGGCTGTGCCAAGGAGGCCTATCGGGTGTGCAAGCTCACCACGCTGCCTGGTGCTCCTCCCTAGGGGAACACCAAGGGCACCCCGCATGTGAAACTGTTTCCAAGCTCCCAGTAGCTCTCCGTTTGGAAACCTTCCAGTTTCTACATCTTAATGGATGTTCCCTAGATTTCTACGTTGTGAAACAATAATGTGGGATGACCATATCAATTCACAACTGAAGATCTGGTCACCGCTAGCCCTAAGATACAGTGGCCCGATAAACAGCTCTCCTTCATCCCTCCTTAAACAAGCAGATATCAGTCATCTAAAAAAGAACAGGATGCAGTGCACACCATCATCGTTGGCCAGGTGGAATTTTCTTCCGCCATCTGAGTTTGCTGCCTCTCACTACCAGGGATGAATCTTAGAGAGGGACTCAGCCATCTCCCTCTCCACCCCGAAGTGGGTAGTCCTTCCTGTAAATTTCTGGGAAATGGAAAGAGTCTCCTAGCAGGATAGGCGAGGGCCCAGGCAGCCCTGGAGATGGTCCAGCCAGCCCACCAACCACTTGGTAAGAAGATGGACAAAGAACTTTCACCCCTTAAAGAGCTAGGACTGCCACATGGTAACCGTCTGTCTCCTTCTCCCTTTCTCCTTCCTGGTTGGCTCTCCTCTTCTGATTCACACAAGGGTAGAGCAGTAGAGCTAAAGCAATGGAGGCAGACAGGCCTGGGTTCAAATCCTGGCTCTGCCACACACCACCTGGGTAACCTTGGGGCTCTCCGCTCTCTGAGTCTCAGTGTTTGTGTTGGGGAAATGAGAACTGTAACTGAACTTCTCTTATGAAGTCACTGTGAGGATGAAATGAGGTAATTCTGTTAAGAGTCAGCATAGAACTGGGCATGTAAGAAAGAGAAAGAAGGCATCTGGAGGCACATGCACAAGGAAGAAAGAAAATCTATATGCGAGTATCATGTATGCTACCTAGAGAGAGAGACCAACAAGCATGCCCTCCACCTGGAGTCAACATTTGCTAAGTAGCCAGGGGGTGGTGAGGATAGGGGTCACGTGCCCCGGACCCCCTCTGGAGAGCACGGACTCTCCCTTCATGGGATAGATATGCTACACCAATAGGCTCATGGGACTATCTAAAAACCCAAGACAGAAACCATCAGGGTGCATGGTTGTACACTGTCCCACTCCATGCCACACTATGAACCTTCTCAGTGACCAGGGTCCTCAGCAGACATGGAGCCAAGACAATGCAGCCAACTTACGACCAAATCCCCTCCCAGGAAGGCATCTGCTATGGAGCCCTTTGGTCCTTTGTTTGCCCACTGAATAGCAACTAAGCACCTGCTATGTCCAGGGACACAAAACACTGACTAAATTTGCACATGACCATCACTGGAGAGTGATCATGACCCACTTTTTCTTACTTTTATCCGTAAAAGAATATGCTCATTAAATCTAAAGATAATGGCTATTTTCCCTTTTCATGATAAAAAGTGCTCATCTAGGATGCTGTCATGGTCCATCCGAAAAACAAAAACAGGCTTGGGGTAAACCCATGATCTTCTTCAGGGGTTAGACTACATCCCACCCTTCTCTTCTCTCGGGAACTGTCCTTCCCTTTCTCCCATGCCAACCACACAACTCTGCATTCTGACAGCAAGGACACATTGCCATCTGCCTTTTCCTTCCTTCTGTGAAATCCTTGTAACCATTCCCTACATCTACCATTTTAAGGACTCAGCAAAATCCTCAATGGGAATTTTAATGATGATCTAAAATAGGAAATCCAAGCTTTAACTTTCATTAAATGAATGGCCAGAACTTGTTTGAG